AATCGTACATGCATCGTGCGTGGAGTGTCGTCTGTCTAGTATTTTTGTTCTGTTAGAGTGCCTTTTTTGGTGAGAACCGCCATATTGGCAGTTATTATGGCGATTGGCCCATTATGATGACTCTGCTAGAGTTGATCTAAGTACCACCTTCACACTGCACCATGATATCATCAACCTCGCCAACAACAGGAGTTCATGCCGCTGTTTGTCCACCCTTTCCTTGGGCAAGATAAAGATGACCGTTACTGTTATTATTTGGTCGGGTTAGCATTCTTGAAAATTTCAATGGTTGCTTGGATGTAATCATAGAGGAAACATGTAGAAGATGGAGGTATTTGTCACGATATGTTGTGCTCAACACATGTGGTTGTCAAGTCTATTAGTTTTTATTTATGTATTAATTGCAACGTACACGTATTTAGCTAGTAACAATAAAATGTCACTTACAGTAAATATTGAACACCCAAAATGGTATCGCAATGAAGTAGTAATATTATGTAAATTAAATCCTTCAAACTTACTTGTCGTACACATGGAGAGCTAATGAGAATTGAGAAGTAGACAAACTCCACAACAGATAAGGTTTCAAGTAAGTTCAAGTTTTTCACATGGCAAGCGCTGCCTGATATCCTTGTTGGTAGGGATATACTTATTGATTGTCACACTAAGGTCTCTCCTGAATATCCAGTCTATTGACAGGTGCTGAAGATGTGTGCCATATGTTGTTCGCTTTCGTACACAGGAGATTTGGAGTGCTCTTGGTTTCAGGAGGTTATTGCTGGGTTCAAGATATGGGCAGATCAGACCAGTGATAGGGCAGGTGGGACTACGAGAATCACTCCATATGTTATTCTAGCAGAAATTGCCAGCACAATCAACAAAGCAGTCGCCAGTGATAGGGCAGCTGGGACTAAGAGAATCTGTTGTAGTGGCTGTTTGGTATATTTGGCGGCAGAGAAGAGAAACTGTCCAGGATCCCAGAAGTATAAACACAATCACATCAAATTTTGCAAAGTGTCCACTCCAGAGTAATGAGGTGGTTGTTAAATGGGAGAAACCTCCAGCAAGGTTTATATATTAAATTTGGATGCTACATTTTTGGAAAATGACTCTCGAGCGGCTGCTACAGTCCTTGGGAACAGTCGTGGTTAGGCTCGTACAAGCCTGGACTCTTTGAAAGGAAGCGAGCTCACGGCTCAACCTTGGGCAAGCCTTAGCTGTTAGCGCACAAATCTGTCGATCTCCAGTCAGGTAGCTCCTCGGCTCGATAAATATACTCCCTCCGTTCCTAAATACAAGTGAAATGATTGTAGTTATCCAAAGAAGGGAAAGCAAATAACTCAACTATTCCTGAAAATTTGATGCAAAAAAAAACTATTCCTGAAATTCAAAAGAGTACGAAAAAACGTGAATCGCCCACCGTGGGGCTCGAACCCACGACCACAAGGTTAAGAGCCTTGCGCTCTACCAACTGAGCTAGACGGGCCTGACATGCTGCTGCTTCTACGTTCGAAATTTACACAGAGAGTAAGTACAGCAGAATGGAACAGTTCAATCTTAAAAATGCAGCACTAACCAGAAAAAAAAACATTCCAGGCATGGCAATGGTTTATGCAACGGAAATTATATGGTCAGTCATAAAATGTAAAGTCGCTTCTGCATCCTTCCGGGCTTCCAGCAACTTCCAGAGCACCGAAGTTACACAAACATCCACAAAGCATGAAGAGATTTAGTTCAAACATGACCTCACATGTTTCGAACCTTAGTTCAAACACAAACATCAGCAACTAAACAATGGTACGGACAGTAGTGAGCTCACATGGCTCGAACCTGCTCTGACCACGGGCATCAGTAGCCCGTAGCACACAAGATCTCTCGATCTCGGGCAGGTAGCTCTCAAGTCGAACTGATGTTATTTCCGTTATGAAAAGTAATGGAAAGGGGTAATGTCCGGTTCAAAAAAAAAGGTAGCTCCTGACCTCGTTCAGCATGGTGACATGGCGGGATGAGCAGTGATATTTGCTCTGGAAAGGAGCTTCGTTTCTGTCAGAATCAGAAACTTCAGCCTGAATGATTGTAGTTTTGCAAAAAACACTAATGAATGGAAGCGCCCACCGTGGGGCTCGAACCCACGACCACAAGGTTAAGAGCCTTGCGCTCTACCAACTGAGCTAGACGGGCCTGACATGCTGCTTCTACGTTCAATATTCAAAGAGAGAGCAACTACAGCAGAATGGAACGGTTACATCTTAAAAATGCAGCACTAACCAATTTTTTTTCCAGGCATGGCAATGGTTCATGCAACGGAAATTATATGAAAGGCAGCCATAAAATGTAAAAGTCGGTTCTGCATCCTTCCGGGCTTCTAGCAACTTGCAGAAGCACCAAAGTTACACGAACATCCGCAAGCATGAAGACATTTTCAGTTGCGAACATGACCTCACATGTTTCGAACCTTAGTTCGAACACAAACATCAGCAACTAAATGATGGCACGGACAGTGAGCTCACATGGCTCGAACCCGCTCTGACCACGGGCATGGGTAGCCCGTAGCACACAAGATCTCTCGATCTCGGGTCAGGTAGCTCCTGACCTCGTTCACCATGGTTGACATGGCGGGATTAGCAGTGGTGTTTGTTCTGGAAAGGAGGTTCGTTTCTGTCAGAATTAGAAACTTCACGCTGAATGATGGTAGTTTTCCAAAAAAAAAAAAATGGAAGCGCCCACCGTGGGGCTCAAACCCACGACCACAAGGTTAAGAGCCTTGCGCTCTACCAACTGAGCTAGACGGGCTTTGCATATCAATTTCGCGTTCACAATGTAGACCTAAGTAACTAGAGCAAAATGGAACAGAAATCTTGGGAATGCACCACTAACAAAAATACTACTCCCTCCGTTCCAAAATAGATGACCCAACTTTGTACTAACTTTGTAGCAAAATTAGTACAAAGTTGAGTCATCTATTTTGGAACGGAGGGAGTACATCCGTCCGGATTTATTAGACCTCCTCTCATTTTGGGCTAAAGTTTAATCAACAAATTTAACTAATAAAATGTAAACTATATGTCATAAAAATTATGCCTTCGAAAAGCTCTTTCAAATACAAATCCAATCCAAGAGTGTACTTTTTGTAGCATAGAATCTATATTTTGTTAGTCATATGAATGATGAAAATTTGGCTCAAAATACTAGGGACCTAATAAACCCGGACGAGGTAGTACTCCCAAGGCATGTTAATGGTGCATGCAACAGAATCTACATGAATCGCCTGAAGTCACTAAAATGTAAAGTCGTTACATGAACATCGGCAAGCATGAAGAGATGTAATTCAAACATGAGCAAAACACGTTCACCACAGCTGCACATAGTGTGAGGGAGGTTTGCTCTGGAAAGGAGCTTCGCTTCTGTCAGAGACTTCAGGCTGAAATGATAGTAGTTTTTTCAGAAAAGGGAAAGAAAATAAGTAACTCAAACCAAAAGATGGAAAAAAATTGAAATCGCCCACCGTGGGGCTCGAACCCACGACCACAAGGTTAAGAGCCTTGCGCTCTACCAACTGAGCTAGACGGGCTTGGTGCAGATCCATTTCGATTCATCCACTTACTTCGATGCGACAATCCCTGCCTTACTCGAATCGTCATCCATGAAAATCATACCTCGGATTCACGAGATCTCTGCGGGGATGCGGACTTGCTGCTGAGGATCCATCGGGCATGGTGGTTGGATGGTTCCTCCATGTCTCTGGCACTGGGAGTTGCCGCCCAGATCGAGTTGGATGGATCCTCCATGACGCTCCGATTCCTGCCCAGAAAAACGTAGATCAGGGCCGGACAGCTGCAGAAGAGACTCAGGATTTGACTTAATTCGATGTCGCAGCTAACAAATCGCTTACTCCGTACTCCCCGCGCCAAGATTTTACCTGTCCGCGGCCGCAGGGCTCCAAGTCTTGCCAATGGAGGTGCCGCGGACGGGGCGGGAGAGGAGGCTTACCGATTGCCGGAGTGGCTGGGAGGCTGGGGCAGAGCGCGAGGCTCGAGCCCACGCTTGCACTGCTGGACAAGCCCCAGGGGAGTAGCACCCGCGCTGCCGTCGGGCTTATTTCGATCGTGGAGGGGAGGCACGCGACAGGTGCTACACATGGAAAGAGGAGGAACGCCCAAAGGAGTGCGATGCAAACCATCCTATCCTATCCTATCCTTAGCTTGGCACAATTTGATCGTGGAGGGGAGGAGGGACGTCGTGGTGTGGTTGAGGATTGATTGCTGCTGCGTGCTCGTGCGGGACTCGGAAGCAGGCGAGCTGCCGGGCTCGTCAGGCGCCCCTCTGTCTCGCTTCACGCGAGACAGAGTTGGGTCGGCCCAGGGGCGCGGGAACAACAGACTCGTTTTTTGTTTTGTTTCTTTTCACTTTTTTTGGCTTTTATTTGTACTTTCAGTTATTCTAAATAAATATATTACAAAAATTAGTGTACATAAATCATTTGAAAAATATTTAAGAACATTTGAAAAATGTTAAATAGGTATAGACAAAATGTTTATCACGTACACAAAAAATGCATAAAAAATGTGTATGGAAAATTTTGATCAAGCATTAAAAAAAATTGAACAAGCGTTTGAAAAATGTTAATCATGCATTTGAGAAAAGTTTACCAAGTATTTGAAAAATGTTAAATATGTACAGAACAATGTTGACCATGTATTAAAAAAATTGTTAATCTTGTATTTGAAAAATGTTGATCGTGTATTAAAAAAAATCTTAATCTTGTATTTGAAAAATATTAATCAAGCATTTGAAAATGTTTAAAATATGTATAGAAAAAATGTTGACCATGTATTAAAAAAGTTAATCTTGTATTTGAAAAATGTTTTTTTAGGGTACGCCAAAGGTGTACCTTAGCTTTATAGAAGAGAGAAAAATATGTACAAGAGGTTACAATAGCGCTGGTTAAGAGTCACATCCGACCCTAACCAAGCCTCCACTCCACTCCTCACGCTACTCTACTACCCGGATACAGGTTGTTCTCCAAACGCTCTTGCCGTGGCCCAAGTCCTCAAGTCGTCGAAGATCATGTCCACCGTATCCCACTCGTTCTTGATCTGGCCCGATCCGAACACCCTCGCGTTCCTCTGTTTCCATAGGGTCCAACATATAAGCATTACGAACGTGTCAAATCTTTTCCGAGTTTGCTTGTGTATCAGCTTTCTGGCTTCTGACCACCATTGCACCAACCTAGAATCATTTGCTGGGCAAAGCTCCATCCTCAATCTCATCCTAGCAATGCAACTAGACCACACTTGCCGCGAGAACACACACTGCTGCAAAATATGGCCGACCGTGTCTTCCTCCTGGTCACATAGGTAGCATTTTGACGTTTGGTCTTGCAACCCATGTCTAGTCCTTCTATCCGCCGTCTATAATCGATATTGCACTGCCAGCCACATGAAGATCTTACACACAAGAGGTGCCCAACATATCCAGAGGGCTCCGAAAGAGTGGAAACGAACTCCCTCACAAAGCATCTTATAAGCTGAAGATGCATAGTAGACTCTGGACACATTCCACGCCCAGATGGGGCTGTCCCCAGTCTGAGCGTCAAGTTGCACCTCCGAAATGATCTCCCAAAGTCCAATGAACTGGGTTAGGCCCTCCGTGCATAAGTTACCCACCACATTGTTCATCCATGCGTGCATGCACATAGCATAGCGCACCAACCTCCTGTTGGCCACTTGGGTACGGACAGTCGCCGCGACCAGAGGGGCAATATCCATGATGGTTGCACCGTGGAGCCACCGATCTTTCCAAAACAGTATTTTCTCTCCCGCTCCCACCTTCCATTTGACCAGACTCCCGAATGTTTGATCTACCTTTTTTCCGTGGTCAAGTTGAGACCCTGCCAAGGCCTGGAAGCATCCGTACGTCGGAGCCATTCCCATCTTAATCTTAGAGCAATGCTATGCTTAAAGAGGTCAATGACACCCAATCCTCCCATGTGCTTTGGCCTACATACTCTTGCCCAAGATACCACACATTTGCCACCATTCACTTCCTCTGTCCCGGCCTAGAAGAAGGCCCTACATCCTCTGTCCATTCTTTCTAGAGCCCATTTAGCCGCCTCCGCAATCATGAGATGATGAGTGGCTCGAGCTCTCATGACTTGGTTGACAAGGATAAGCCTTCCAGGTCTAGTCACCAAGCCCCTTTGCCATCCCGGCAAGATGTGCAAGGCCGCATCCACCACCGGCTGCCACTCGGATCTTTTGAGTTGTCTTATGCTTAGCTGGAGCCCTAGATATTTGCATGGGAAAGTGGCAATCTTCCAGGATAGTGCCGACTTCACCAGCTCTTCATCCACGTCCTCCACTCGGATCATGATTGCTGCTGATTTGGAAAAATTCACTTTGAGCCCGGATGCCACTCCGAAGATGGTGAGAGCTTCCTTAACGAACAGGAGGTCTGGCCATGTGGGTTCAATGAAAAGAACCACATCATCCGCATATAAGGATAAGCGCTGCATCGGGCTACATCCATTGAGGGTACTCATCACTCGAGCCTCATGTGCCTTGATAATGATTACCGTAAGTACATCCATGGCAATAACGAAGAGCAAGGGTGAAATCGAATCCCCTTGCTTAAGACCCTTGGCATGTATGAACTTGTCACCTACACAGCCGTTCACTATCACTCTCGAACTGTTAATGTTAATCAAGCATATGTATTTGAAAAATGTTAATCAAGCATCTAGAAAATGTTTTAAAAAGTGTCCAGGAATTTGTTTGACCGTGTATTCAAAAAATGGTAATCTTGTATTTGAAAAATGTTAATCAAGCATTTGAAAAATGTTAAAAAAAGTGTCTTGAAAATATGTTGACCATGTATTCAAAAAATGGTAAACTTGTATTTAAAAAATGTTAAACATGTATTAGAAAAATTATCTTAACATATGCAAAAATGTGGAATGAAACCAAAAGAAAGAAGAAATACTAAAAAGAAACAGAAGAAAAAAGAATATAAAAAACCTGAATAAACAATGCAAAAAGATTTGAGAAACTATGAAAACTAATAAAGTAACAAAGAAAAATAATTGAAAACCAATAATGAAAATAAAAAATAAATAAGAAAAATGAGAAGGAAAAGAAAACAGATAAAACCCATGAATGAAAGAAACAAAGTGAAACCAAAAGAAAAGAAAAAAACCAAAGTATAACAACGACAAAAAGGAAATCGGAGAAGAAATAAGAAAATCAAACAAAAAACAAAAGAAAATAAAAAGGAAAAAAACATGTCTTTTTCCTCTAGTTGGTCGCACCTCCTATCTTAACACGAACCCGACCTTGGCGCAATGGCTAGAAGCACCACCCACCACTGAGGCCACCTGAGATCGATTCCCTTCCTATTTCTCTTGTTTTAGTATATGCACTAATGGGTCGGACCTTTACTGCAGGCAGGGGCAGCCCGCATCAGCCTATGATGGGACGTGAAACGACACTCTGGGCTTGATTAATCTTATTTTGACATGTTTTTAGTGGTATTTTGACATGTCTGGGGTGTAAATTATATGGTTTTGGAGATATGATGACATCTAAATGGATTTGGGGTGGAAACTATAATTTCGTGAAAGATAAAATATAAAATAGAGGGAAGATGTGGATTGGCCCGTTCGAGGCTGAGAGTGGGAGTGTTGGGGGGGGGAGGATGAGCAGTGCTATCCATACATAAAGGTTTTACATACTTTTTACACTCACGACTCATGAGCATGTGGTTAGCAAACATTACGGGGCGGTTGCAAATCTTTTCAAAGATAAATGGTGTAGGGAGAGGGGAGAGGGAGAGGGAGGGAGAGAGAGAGATAGAGAGACTTGGGCGGGTAGGATGTGGCACAATTCAAAATATACGATTCCTATTTGATTTTTCTATTTTGCAAGAAATTAATTATGAGTTTAATAAGTATTAATATTAAATTACTACCAAAAAGTGAGCATGTGTTGCATGTTTGAGTCAGTTTCGACCTGTTAGGTCCAGCAAAAAATCATGTATGTGTCCGTGAACTAGTTCGAGTTACATCAAGCTTAGCAGGTCCCTTAAAATATTCTTTTATCACTCATATAACCATTTCCAAACTCATCACAACATATTAGGGCAATACTTAAGAAAAAATCAAGTACATAATTCAAATACACATCAAATTTAATGTTCTCAAACATAACCATGCAAATTAAAACACAACAGACGGTCAACGAACTAATGATCCAAATAACATGATAAAAGGCATAAGAATCAAGTGCTACGAAGGCGCCAAAGGTGCCCAATAAGATCTTCTTGAAGTCCATTGTGAGCTTGACGATTCTCTGTCCTTCAATGTCCTTGGAGGAAGGCCTCGATCCTGTTTGGGTTATGTCCCCGCTCCACCGAGTGCTCATTAAAGAGATATCGAAAGTCCTATGGACCCTCTCTCTCATCCTCGATGATCATGTTTTGTAAGATAACACATGTTATCATGGTATTCCATGAGATCGCGGGCTTTCAATATGCAATAGATCCATGGACAATCGTAAAGCGTCTTTGAAGCACACCAAAAGCTCTCTCAACATATTTTCTAGCAGATTCTTGCATAGTTGCAAATTGAGGTTTGTTGGTGCTTTTAGGATGGTGAAATATCTTCACAAATGTGTTCCATCGAGGATAGATGTCGTCGGCTAGGTAGTATCCTATGTTGTACTCGTTGTCATTGAGAACATAGTTGCAAGGTGGATTGTCACTGGCAACAAGCCTTGCAAAAAGAGGAGATCGCTAGAGGACACTGAGATCATTATGAGAGCCAAGCATCTAGAAGTATGCATGCCAAATTCAGAGATCATGTATACACCCGCCTCGAAGCCCTTCTTGAGCAACACCTCCCGCACGAACTCCCAGTTCACGCGATCATAGGCTTTCTCGAAGTCTAGTTTGAGCAGAACCCCTTTCCCCTTCAAATGTTTCAGCTCGTGCACAATCTCCAGAAGCGCAATTGGGCCCTCCAATATATTGCGCCCCTTGAGAAAAGCAGTCTGACTCCTTTGGATTACCCTTTGAGCAATGGGGGCCAGCCTAGTGGCGTATGCTTTGGCACACATTTTAAACGGGACGTTGATAAGCGTTATAGGCCTGAACTGCTTAATGTTGTCCGTGCCCTTAACTTTAGGAATTAGACTAATAGCCTCGTAGTTAAGGCGGGAGAGGTCAACTTGACCCAGTGCAAATCCGTTAACTATTGCGTGGAAAACGTGCTTAAAGCAAGGCCAGAATCTCTTAAAGAACTCCACGGGCCACCCATCGGGTCCTGGCACAGTACCCGTTTTCATGGAGGCCAACGCCTGGTCAATTTCCTCCTGGAGGAAGGACAAGGCGAGTCCATCATTTTTTGCCTGGGACACCTGCTCGGAAGGATCCCACAAGTCCTCCCGAAGACTCATTTTTTCTCCTCGGCCATCCCCAACAGCCGGATAAAGAAATCATAAATGTGACTACTAATCTCAAACTGGGTGACCAAGACCCCATTATCGGAGTTAAGGCACAAAATAGAGCTCTTCCGCTTCCGCCCGTTAGCATATGCATGAAAGTAGCCCGTGTTCACGTCTCCTTTTTTCACCCACTTAACGCCGCCCCTACGGCGCCAATACTCCTCTTCCTCTCTCAAGATGCTCAGCACCTGGTCTTCAAGAGAATACCGATGTGCCCACTCCAGCTCAGAGAATGTTCTCACGTCCGCCGCAAGATCTAGGCTCGCAATCTCCTCAGTTAGCCTAGCTCTCTCTTTTTTGGATTCGCTGCCGTGGTTTGCTCCCCAACCCCTGAGGAAAGCACACATCTTGGCCGCCGTCGGAGTCTAGAACTCGGCCGGGCCTCGTTGGGGCCCAACCTATGATGAAACATTTGCCCATCGCTCTCTCAGGATGAGCTCAAAGCCCTCTACTTCGAACCATACGGTTTTAAAGTAGAACCTACTACTCCACCGAATCGACTCCTCCCCTGAGGAAAAGATGAGCGGGATGCGATCGGAACTTATCCTAGTCTCCACCACCAAAGAGCATATAGGGAACAACACTTCCGATTCCGACATGAAAAACACTCTATCAAGCACACAACGAACCGGGCAAAGTTGCTTGTTTGTCCAGGTAAACCTCGTGCCCGTACGAGCGGCCTCTCGCAATGATGCCGCCGCAATCGCGTTGTTGAACATTGTCACCCTTGACCAGTCCACATTAGCGTTATTCTTGTCCGCTCCTAAGCAGAT